CTAATTATATACAAAATTATGTTAAACATATATATATATTATTTAAAAATTATAAAAGAGTGACAAAACTATTTAAAATAACTTGAAATATTTTTTGAATTTTGTAAAATCAATTATTTCAAATCATTTGAAATTTTAGAAGCTCGGTTATTCATTTATATTGTGGATGGTCAAAATTGTGTGTCAACACCTCAAAGCCATCTTCTTCATCAATTATATTTCATAATATTTTTTTTCTAACAAGCATTAAGTCTTGAAAACTAATTTAGGTAATAAGTAATTAATGTTAGGGATAAAACGTACTGAAATTTGAACCTTTTATTTATGATAGATCAAACACTCATCAACCCATTGACCTAAACTCGAAATTACAGAACTATTTTCATATTCAAATCAAATGAATTTAATTTAATAAATATTATTTAAATTAATTGAATTACAATAATTTTTATTTACCTAAGGGTCGTGCTTGCACGGACTTATTATCCTCTAATTGTGTTATAGAAACAATTGATAAATTTTTGCTTCATTTGCTCCTAACTATTAATGCAATCATACTCGAGGTCTGTGTAACAATCAAAAGCATCACCATTAAGGGAATGAACAAATGTTTAAAGAGGTATTCACGATGTTTTCCAGCATTGTTTCACATTTCAATGGAAGTGTGCCACCTTTTCCTTTTGATTGCCCTTACCATAAAATAGCTGAATATTTGGGTTGACAATCGACAAACATCTTTAAGCTATCAATTTATAATGTACAATTTACATATATAAAAGAGGATTCGATTCTAACCTCGTACTTATCCTTGATGGTAGCCATGATGAACTCCTTTATTTGACTTATTGAAGTCATCCTTTCATAGAAAACTTGGATCTCCTTAGAATGTTCCACTTGCTTTGCTAGACGACTAATCAATTTGTGTTTGCGGGCACTTTTCAGGTGCATGACTAGATTCTTCTTTCATCCTGTCTTCAATTTTATCTATTAGTTTAACAATTTGAGCACCTTAATCTTAAACATAATCGATTAATTATTCAATAGCTATTTTTAAACTCATCAGTTATTCCTCTATATATGAACCATTAATCATCATTGTATGTATCACTGTTTAGATGATAAATAATATGGAGATTTCTGGATATTAAATGCAAACATATAGTAGATCTAGTGTCTGAGACATCACAATCAACTAGCGTAAGGACTTTTTAGATATAGATAAATTAAGTTTGCAAGGACCTTCTTGACCATTTAAGCAATGCCATCCCCTTATTTTGCGGTGTTTGCATGGGATCTCACACGTTTTCAAGATGAACCAAAGAGAATAGTATATTCATATTACACTTGTGAGGCTTGTTGGACTAGCAATTTGGATTGATTCTTTATGTTTGATCTTATGCTTCCCTCCGTAAAACTAGGATGTTTTCCACTATAATAGAGAATTCATATTCAATAGTTCTTGCGGATTTTCAATTTGACCTTCCTTGAATCCATTTTAGGGTACTTGAACTTTGTTTGTTGAAGAGAAGATATGAGAAGTAAAAAAAATTTTAATGGGCGTGCCAAATTTGCAAACAATCAAATTTTATTCTTGAAAAATAATATTCAAGACGAGAAAACTGACGATTAGTAATAATATGTGATTTTAATAATTTATGTGGGGGTTACAATCTTTGTAAAATCTTATAAAAAACATGTGATTCACTGATTCTTCTACTCATGACCGCTAACTCAAGAGCTCACTTTGCTCTTGAATTAATGGAATACTTGTTGGAATTTCGTCACAAATGTGGAGTCAGGCTTTGATTACAATCCTGGAGGTATGACAACTTATAGCTCTCCACTTGGAGACAGACTTTTTTGTATGAGGAAGTCTTAGGGATCACCACCGAAGAACAAAACTTCTCTATTTTTTTTTTCTTTCTAGCCTTATTAGACACTTTTATATAGTCGTGAGCTAGGCTTGAGGATATTTTAGTCTCCAAATAATTCTAGAGGACTTTGAGCTTGAAGAACATGGGACGGACTCATCTTGTCAATAACAGACTGACCCTAATGTAATTGACTTCGTTTGAGTCATATAATTTGGAAAAAATTAACAAATGACATACTTAATATTACTTATTATTAGTCGTAACAGGAGGTTTTAGATTTCAATATGTAATAGTAAAATTCTAACCACAATTAACAACTATTAAAATATGTATTCAATATTAAATTTTTAAAAGATAATTAATATATAATCACATAATTGATATTTACATATTGTTTTCCATATTTTAAGGGATTATAACTGATTTTAAAAATGGGACACTTATATTTGTCCAATCGGTTTAAATATTCTTTAATGATACTTCTTTTCTTTATTTTTTTTGTATTTTTTTTCTTATTTCTTTTTACGATTGTTTTGGATTTTTTTTAAGCAACACGAAAAGTGATTTGTACTCAATTTTGTTTCATCGGGGTTGTTGGGATTCAACAGGTTTGTATCATAGTTTTTGTCTTTCTTTTCCTTTTATATCGATTTTTTTTTGGAGAAAAAAGACAACTAAATGAATTCTGAGTAGTGATTTACTGTCTTTGTTTGTTAATTCTTCTTTTAATAATGGATGTTGATTTTCTTTTTTTTAATCATGAAACAGATTTTTTGTATATAAATTTATTTGGTGCAATAATTAGTAGAATAAATTTTATATATAAAAATTAAAATGTGGTCTACATTATTCAACTTCAGAAAACTATTGTGTGGTATGGTATATGAATAGTTTGTGGTGTCAAAATTAGATAATTGTTTATGTCAAAATTAATGAATAGACGGTATGAATTGTTATTGTAAAAACTATTTGGGAAAATTGTATATAATATAGCAAACTAATAACTTAAAATAAATTGAGTAGTTAGGGTTTGATTTAATTGTGCTCCATAGCAAACGTTTGCAAAAAACTGTCAGGCGTCTCTCTCCCAAATACCTCGCTCGCCACTCTCCTCCAGCCTCTCGCTCGCTTCCTCACTTTTTATACAAACACAAGTGTATAAAAATTGTTTGCAATTGTCTAAAGCAGAGAAAATTGTATAAATACATATATTTTTGTTTCCCTCTCCCCCCTTTTCCAGAACTCGCTTGTCACTCTCCCAAATCACGCTCGCCACCCTCGCTTTTCTCATTTATACAAACAGAAGCGAAAAGTATAAATTGCGTTTCTGTTTGTACAAAGCGTGAGAAAATTGTATATGCACATGCAAGTACATATATTTTCGTCCTATACACCTATAATTATACAATAAAAATATTCCCCTGCCCAGTTTCTTTTGCCTTAATCTGTCTCTCTCTTGTTTTATACAAATTTTAAATTGTATCTAATTTCTCTTTTTCTCATTTTATACAATTCGATTTAATTTTATATTCCTTGTCAAGTATCTTTTGTCTTTCTCTCTTTCTGATTTTATACAAATTCAAGTTGTATACAATCGTTCTACACACTTATAATAATACAATTTGTTTTATACACTTCGTTTTTATACAATTCTCTACCCAAGTGTCTTTCTCTTTCTTATTTTATACACTTCGTTTTATACAATTTGCTTCAACTGTATATGTATAGCGAATTATACAGTAATGTTTGCTATGGAGCGCAATTATGCAAACTTTGTTATAGCATACAAATATGAATTTTTTATTTTTATATGTGAAAGTTGCTCAAACTATTTTATCAATTTGTTTTGAATTATGGTGTTCAAAAAATAAAATAGTTCGACTATATGATATTAATATATTTTGTGGTTCCAAGAAATATACACATATACATTGGGTATTGTCAATAACTTTTTACCAATAAAATATGTATTAAAGATGTTTCAAATTTACACATAAAAAATCAATGATTAATATAAAATTCAGATATCACAAAATCATTAAAAAAACAGAAATATTGAAGCCTACTTGTAATATCCAATTTAATTCCATTGTTATACATCAAAATTCAAACTAAGTAGTATTTCACTATCAAAAAACACTAAAACACAACTAATAATTTTTCGTAAAATACTTGCAAAAAAAACCAAGTAACAGTATCCAAATAAGAAAAACAATCAATAAGCTAATTGTGATGATGTTCAATTGAATATACATAATGTGAGTATCGAATTGGTATTAAAACAAGTATGTATGTAATATTTATGAAAGCTACTTCGATAACTTATTCATAAAGTGTATGAATTTGATATATAAATTGAAACAAGTGAAAAAACTAAATTTTATTGTAAAGAAAGCTCAGAATATAAGATGAAAAAGACAAGAAGTATAAGATATAGGAGATAATTTTGTTATTCAAGTATATCATAT